TAACTTAACCAGTGAAGTGGTTATAAAAGCAATTTTAGCTGTTATCACGCTTGATAAAGATACTGACAATAAGTTAAGAGGGAATAAGAATAGATAGCGGGCAATCTTGGTAAAGTTGTAGGAGTGTGGCCTAGGAAGATGGCTGCTAGGTCCGTTCCAGAAACACAGGATCGGGAAATCAAGGAGTTTACGACTTCTCCACCTTCTTCAACAAAATATCCTTAACATCATAATCTGTCAATTATTTGATTTGATCAAGTTCATGTCATACGTTGGTTTCGACTTAATTAATGCCACCTTATTGTGAAGGGTATGTCGATCGAAGTCGAAGGCGACTTCAAATTCAAAGGAAAATGACGATATAGCAAATACGGTGCATGAAGAAATGATATAAAAATTCAGAGCGTCTGTAGGTTTCTTTTATATCTCATCTCTTACTGAAAACAAACAAAATTATCAACCGTTGCGTATGCGTACATACTTCAGCTTCAATACTATGAAAAAGAGCAAAAATTATGTGCAAGAAGTTTTTGGATTACTTTTTTTAAATGCTGAATAATCTGCTCTCGAAAACCTGAGCTGAGTACCTAACTAAAGTTTCTTCATAAATATAACAACACATAATAGTCCTAGCTTTTGTATAAGTTTAGTGTGTATAACTTATTCATACGCTCGTACTCTTTTAAGTCATTTGTATATAAGCGCATCTATCATTGAGCAAACCCGTCTAATATCAAACGCATGAGAATGAGGTAAACATTTGTTCCCTTAGTAATATTTTACGATACCACACACAGCTTGCAAAGAACGAAAAATGCTTCGATCTTTGCTTTCAACACAGACACGAGTATGTGCATACTAAAGCTCGACATTGATTAATTCATGAAGAACGTAGATCCTCTCCTATTATCTAATTATAATCGTTACCAATTCACAAGAACAAGAAATAGGTGATGCTGTGAAAAAAGAGGGTAATGAATAGAAAGACACAAATGCAAGAAGATATAATGAGTGAATTGAATGATTATAGATTAATCATATGAGAGCACAAATGAAGCAGACAACGAATTGAATCAATGGATGAATGAATGAGTGAAAGTTGAACACATAAAGTAAAATAAATGACTGCAATGAATGAGATACTGAATGATAAATAAAGAAACTATGAATAATTGCAAATAAATAGATTAAAGCGAGTAAGCAATTTGGATGAATTTTATGAAAGGTTAAACAAGAACTTCAATGCACTTTAGACAAAGGCATTTAGTTCATTAAAACCGAGCAGCCCTGTAGCGAAGAAGCGCAAATTGATTATTCTTCGTAAATGGATAATAATCAAATAAACTCAGAATGGTTAGGGTGAGTTAACAGCAAATCTGAATTAATCAATAAACTCACAAAGTAGCATGAAATACCGTTTTCTAATAAACCTAAAATCCTTAGATCATAAGAATCATCAAAAATTTCGTAAGTTCATCATAGAATAAGTAGTAAACGTTACTGAGATAGTGAATGATTTACCAGAGCTGTTGCAATCACTCTTATATTGAAGATCAAGAGAAAAAATTGGAGGTCATTTCTTACGTCATGTCCCAGAATGTGCTAAATAGTGATAGTTTTTAAGAATTTGATTGTTTCTTCATCATGAGAAAACTAAAGCATCAGTTTTAGGGAATGCATTCAGGTGCAAGGCCAAATAATGTGAAAATGTGACGTGTCAGCACTAAAATTTTGGTTGAGAGATTGCGTAGATGATCTTGGCTGTAGCTATTAATTTAGCACACTAGATTAGAAGTTAGATTGTTGCAGAAAGTATGTGCTTCATTTCTGCTCTATGTTTTTACCCCACGTTTTACAGTGAATCCTTATTCGGCGTTATAAGTATGCTTTTTAATCAGCAAGTCAACTACTCTTTAAAGACACTTTTCACACAACGTGATTTTGAGCGCTGTAATGTACACTTAGTAATTCTACATTAAGGTCCTATGCTGGCCGATAGAGCTTTTTATAATTGTCACGATTATCCTATGAATTGTAATGATTTTACATTGCACTCAAGGATTCGAACTTCGTATTCTTGTTTTGTTGTTCCATTGTTGTGCCAAGACTGCATTTAAATGTTGAGGTTTGGTATCTGGGTACATTATATAGAAGTCTCCCAATCAGCTGGTATCAGTAAAACGCCTAATTCAGCAACTGCGGAATGTCGCATAATAGGACTTTATAACTTTACTGAACTCATATCAGTTTAATCTCATTTGAAGCTTGTCGATTGCTGCAACAGTTTTAAAAGGACTTCTAAGTTCTTACTAAACTTAAAAATATGAAGTCAACGCAATGGTTTTAATTGCAAACATTTCATATTAGTTCCCCAGTATTTATCAAGAGCTTAATGCATAAGGAATTTACCTTCTTACTTTAACATTGGTGCAAATCAAAGCTCTCATTTGAAGAATATTTTAAGGGAGAATATGTCATGCATAAAAAATTCGTATTTGATTTGCTATTTTTATATCTGATTGTAAAACGCAATTTTATCTCCGAAATTTCTTCTATTTTACAATTTCATTATCTCGTAGAGTTAAAAGCTGAAGACTAACTCACACACAAAACAACGCTCAATTGTTACCTGGTCTAAGTGCACATTTCTTGTCTTTAATTCTTTATGTTCTAAATCTCTTCATTCTCATATGAACGAAAAGAGCAACCTTCATACAAAAGCTATCAATATTTATTAAATGCACAGGAGTTCACAGAGCAACAGCAAGTAATCAATATGACCCGATTTTTTAATGGAATACAACTTGACTTTGATAAGTAGAGCAGATACAGTATCATCACCGTACATTTCTGTTATTACTTATGAAACAATATAACAAATGGCTTATATGTACCCGGCATTTGCGGGAAAAATTATATATTTTGTTATAGGTTCGAAACATCGTCATCAAGGACCCTTTTGAAGGATTCCTTTTGTTTAGATTATAACTCGTAACGCATTCTTCCCGCTCTCAATTGGATGACGACTGGCCGTCTGACATGGCAGCGTCTCGGGAAAATTCGAGAAATACCTAAATATATAATGATTTCTAAAGAATGGAAGCACGCGATGATATTTTAGACCTGCTCCAATGTTGTCTGACTGAGAGAATAGTCGTCGAACTCGTGCCTCTTAGACAAATCTTCGAGTTCGTCGAAAAGTTTGGACCATGTGACGCCTGGTCGTTTTGGCAACTCATAGTTCAGTTGCAAAAGATGGTGTTCCTAAAAATCATCCTCTATCAATAAGTAAGCAGTAGGTAGTGAATTTTTATCCAATCCCGCCCACCTTAAGAACGGCACCAGGAAAAGTTTTTAAGATTTCGGCTTTTGTGCATTCTGCATCTTCTGCTCTATGTAGACGAATGAGTAAAGTGAAACCGGCGCCATATCTACTTTTGATGTGTTGACAGCTACCGTAGCATTTGAATCTTCCTGGAGATAGTATGTAATATATAGTTGAAACGTGAAAGGAAATTTTCGAACCGTATATCGAATATTGTTTCGTGATGTAATCTTCGTAAAAATCGCCATTTAAATATTCAAATCGGAATATTCGAATAGCGGGGGTCCTGCATTTTCGATTACTCAAATTATCGAATAATTGGGCATGATTGAATATGAAAACCTTCGAATAACAGAACAAGTGCACTTTTTCAAATTTTCGACTTTGAATTGCAAGCAACCAACTTATTCGAATACGTTTATTCAAACAGGAAGACCCAGTCTCTGCCATATTTGATGACTACCCAGGAATTTGAACGATCGAATGGTTTTCGAACCTCAGTTCCAGAACTATTCTAGCCGAATAATCGTGTTGATGTTTCAAAATATTCACTATTCGAGTAATTGAATGAGTGCATTTTCTTGAACTTGTGACTATCAGAAAAATCAAAAAATGCGTTTTTTTTCAAATATTCAAATATTTGAAATGTTAGAATATTTTACCAAATATAGTCTCAAGATAGTAATTAAAATATGTTCTTTTGGAGAAGTACTCTTTTTTTAAATAAGAAGATTTCCAAAATTTTTTTGGGAGGTTGTCCGATCAAACTTTTTCAAAATAACATTAGCCTTTGAAAATGAATTAAAATAAAGTTGAGGATAGACAAGCGTACACTATATGATGAATTGAAGTAACACTTAGCATCGAACAATAAGGAAATTATTTTTTTAAATAACTATTTTCGGGACTAAGAGCTATTCCGTATTTGCTTCAAGCTTCTTAGCTCCTTCACTAGTGTTTTCTAGGAAAGGAAAGGCAAAATCGCAAAATAGCATGAGTTTATCATATCAGAACGAATTTATCATATGGCTGTCTCACCACTGATGAGAAAAATAAAGGTGATTACTATATATTTCAACCTGCAATAAAAATGAGCATCGTAAGTAACATCTTGCAATGTTTTCATGGCTACTTCGTCAATTCTTTCGCATAGCAAAATGAAAAAAAAACATTACTTGAA